CCTTAAGAGAAGTGGTAGGAAAATGGCACCCAACAGCCTCCCTTGTTCTTGCAGTCACAGCAATGAGCTCAGTGCTACAGAGCTCCACAGCTCTGGGAGCGAGCACTACGCTCCATCAGGGCTTGTACATCCCATGGAATTGCTAAGGAAGTGCTAAATCACTGCCTTACAATCCACTGAGGATAGGTTTGTACAGCTGTCAAAGAGGGCAGGACAGGGCCAATAGGATCTTTATTACGAATGGTGATTCATGTGCTAGAAACAATAGATCTGACTTGAATTCCAGTTTGGATTCCCTGCACTAGGAGTTATGCAGAGGAAAGAGTTGGTTTGGGTTTTTTGTCTGTTGTTTTTTTAAGTACTCATGCAACTTTATAGGAGGTTAGTGAAAGGTTATTAAAATGTAACCGGAAAACCATAGGAAGGTGTTTAGATGCCAATGCCAAGAGAACTGTACTTTTAAAGAATACCCTCCCCTCCCCTCCCTGAGGATCAGGGTGTTGGAGAACAGCCGTGGTTGTGCTACCTGCTTGTGGAGCTCCTGGGTTTGCTGCTTGCTGACCTGGGACACAGTCTGTGCTTCCTCCATCCCGTCCCTTTGAACAGCAGCACAGCGGATACGGCTGCATAGATCCCACTTAGCGAGTTGTGAGCTAGTAAAGGTTAGTCTGAAGCATCTGTCCTTAACTGACTGGCCCTAGTGCTCATTGTGACTTCAGCTGTAGTACAGTGCTGCTCAGCCCCTTCCATTTTATTCAGGAAACACGTGTAAAAGCTCTTGCTTTCTTGTATTTTCTCTGTGATTTGCTTTCCTCTGTTACTTGTCTCTCACGGTAGTGGTGCCATCTCTGAACCTGTAATGTGTTTAAAGGAGTTAATGGATAGCCCTGTACACAATGTAGATATTATTTTTGTAAACTCTAGGGCTGAGTTAATGGACACGAGTACATCAGCTGTTTCCTCCCCCTGTTAAAGAATTCAAAGGTGGTTCTTGTCCATTAACCCTGACCATTATTTCCCTGTATATTATGTTAATGTAGCTCATTTTGTAATTTGTTAACTAGATCAGGTCACGTCAGCAATTGTTGATGCACTGATTGGTGGAAATGTCCATCAGTTACCTGAGTCACAACTCAAGCTAAACTCTACAACTGGTAGTTTAGAATCCATACATAGAAAAAGGTTCTCCCTATAATGGGAGAAGGTGATTTTTATGAATACAAAGTGTGTTAATTTCAGTTTTGTATGTTTAACTTTTATTAAATAAAGTGTTTAAAATCTGCTGGCTATATTTGGCAAAGTGGAATTGTATGTGGTGGTGGGGTGGCAAATAACCTGGGACGTGTACGTATGGAACCTGTTGGAGGCAGTGCAGTACTCACAGGGGAACTGAAAGTACTTTGCAGGATGGAGTAGGTGGTGTCTGATTCCTCATCTTCACTGCTACTGGGGGTGGGGGGAGGGAATCTGCATGGAAAAGCTTTCAAGAGTAAAATAATCTGATTTGTTTAGAAGTCTGTATGTGCAGAGACATGTCCCAGCAGTGATGACAAGGGTGATAGCACTGACAGCTACCTGTGGAGAGATGTTATCCATCATCCTTCAGATGGCTTGATACAGCATTATTGCACCCCCTTCCTTACCCAAAAGGACCATCCTGAAGCTAGAACTGAACCATGCTGAAGTGGGTAGAACTGAAGTTTTCAGGAAGCCTTAACTCCACCTATCCTTTCTTTTAAAAAAGGAAGGAAAAACCCTTTGGGGAAAGAGACTTACTTAATCCATAGCCAGCATGCACTGCCCTTGCTTATCCTTTGATGTAGTGATGACAATACACAGTCTGTCACGGGCTGGACTGTTCCCCAGCCCTGAAGAGAAGTGAAGGCACAGCATGTTGCTGTGGGGTACCAGCCTCCCTGGTGCTCACAGACAGTCCAGGTTAAACCCTGCCTTACCTGGAAGAGACCAGGACACAGGGATGCACCAGTATGGCTGGGGTGGGCCAAGCTACAGCAGACATGGTTTTGAAGACAACTTGTATGAATCATAAACCGTTAACTACTGCATACTTAGTACTGCAACCCTAGTGCCAATACCCGTGGACTCCTTATTTCTGCTTCTGCCCAACAGAGATTAGTGCACATTTCAGAAGGAAATTAGCAGAGGAGGCAGGGTCAGTGCAATTAAACAGCCTCCTGTGTTCACCCTCCCAAACATCAGTTGGATCTGCTGGCCAATTCCAAGGAAGTTTGAAGGCACACTGGTACTTTCCAGATACTTTGTGTGAGCAGAGAGAATGGACACACTCCTCTTGCCTACAGGTCCCACAGGACAGCTGAGACTGTATCACAGACATGGAGGAGTTTCAGTCGCTATCAGGTCACAGAACTTGTCACTTACCAGAGAATCCATGGGACAAAGCCCTGGGAAAACCACTAAACTTCAATGCTGTTATTTATAGACATCTTTATCATCACCTCCATAGCCTCAGAATGAAGTCCTGGGTTTTACCATTCTTTTCCAGGAACTGACCCCATGTTTCTTTCCAATGGCTGGTGCCAGAAAATATGCTACAAGAAAAGCTTATGATGCTGAGAGGGAAAAACCTCATAAATTACTACCTCTATTTAGTGCATATGATAGATACCCCTCCCACTGAAGCCAAATGTTTCATCCGTTTCAAGAGGGCAACACAGAAACAGACCACAGACAGGGAGATGAGGAGCAGGAGCTCACAGGATAGAAATAGATGGTACCAAACAAAGCAAAGGAAAACACAAGCACAGCCCCTGTGATAAAGCAGCTCTGTCCAGTTAAAACCCCTTTGTTATTGACCTACAGATTTCTTGAGGCAGATGGATTTGAGACCACCTTCAGCATGACATGTCTCTAATGGAACAGACATTATATTGACCTACAAGGGACAACAGGATAACTGTGACAAATGCAGCCAGGGAGTCATTGCCACTGTGACTGCAGACATGAGATGACATGCTGTAATACCCTTGTGTCAGAAGGAAAGTGAGTGCTGGATGGGTTTTGTAATGGGTTTTTCCATAGCAAAAGGACCCACCAAGAATCTAGTTTACAGAGAGAAGGCTTGATGGAGTGAGCTTAGAAGAGAGCTGAGGCATGTGCATCTACCATGTGGGCAAGCTGCTCAAGGGAAGTACATCCAGTTCTGGTTCTTACAGGAAAAGTCACCATATTCATCTAAAATGAAGCAGAAAATAGATGTAGCCCTTCAGTTACTCTATAAACACAAAGCAGAAAAACGACGGCACCCATAAAGCAAGCCATAAAAAAACCTTCACACAATTTGGCAAAGATGAAAGGAAAATGTAATTCCACCCCAAACTGCCATGTGGTGAGAGTGTTACTCTGGGTGAAACTATAGCTAATGTGGTTGGTACAGCCCCAGGCCACAGAGGAGAGGACTGCGAGTGAAGTGCTTGCTTCACTTTACTCTCTGCTTATCGAGGAGTAAATTGATGCCTCAGAAGCAGCACAAATCCCACATCATTGTGCATTAAGAAATGCCAGAGTTGGGAACCCAACAGCAACATGCTTTCAGTGCCTTTGCCTTTTGGGATGAATGAAAATAACTCATTCTTTTTATTATAGATCTCTTTTAAGGACGGAATTTGGACCAAACAGGCAGTACAGCTTCCATGAGCACTTTTCTGGTGAAAAGCCTGTAAATTTGACTTGCTTCTATTGGATTTCTTAGAGTTCAGTACTGTGAACATCTCAGCTTTCAAAGGGGAAGAGAGACTTGACCCAGCTCAGGAGATTCATGCGCTTTCAAGCAGAGGAGCTATTAGGATCATCTAAGTGGTACCCTGCATAACCATATGAATTGGCCTGTATGTATAAAAGTAACTTCTCCGAGCTAATACTCATCTGGAATGCAACCAACCCCATGTCTTCACAGTTATTGTAAAGGCTCTTAACTCTGCTTATGCCTGGTCCTCCTCCTGGCTGGACCACTGTTGCTAGCTGAGCGCTCAGGCAGGTGGTGGGTGATGGAAACTCATCTCCTGCTGTTTTCTCCATTGTATTTGCACTTGGACATCAAGATCCCTTCGAGGCCACAACACTAGGAAAGGTAGGAGATACCAAACTGGCCCTGGAGCATACAAGCAAACATTTCAGACACATTTATTCCAACCATATCACTGTTTTATACTAACCAGGAGAGCAAAGCCATTCCCAACCCCTTGAACTTCAGCATCTCCTTGCTGTGATATTTCTTTCCCAAGCAGCTATTTAAAACAAAGAGAAATAACAGGAAGGAAGAGGTGATGGGACAGCTACAGAAAAGGGTCATAAATAAATAAACCCACTGGTGTTCAGCTGCTCAGCACCAGGGCTGCTGGTGGCCAACACTTTCAAGGAGAATAACAATGAATAAATAATTATAATGATATAAAAGAATAAAAATGAATACCGTCATTTGCTAGAGCCAAACTTTCCCACTTTTCAGAACCAAACCTTGTGTCATCCAGAGATTATACAGACCCCAAACATAAATCCTCTTCTTTGGAAACCCTCAGGCTCCATTTGTTACCTGGAGCCCAGTTCTGCCTGCAAAAGACTTCTGCTCCCACCAGGTCACCTTCCAGAAGGAAGAAGAATGGATGCATCGAGACACTGGATTACATACACACAAGTGAAAACAGCTTTAAGAGCGGCAACCTGATCCAGAGTTAGTAAGCAAATTCATTTCAAAACCCCTAAACAAACAGAAATCATTCACTGCAGCCATGGGAAGATCATTTCTCTGCTCAAGCAACTGCTGTGCCTCTTGCAGGGGATGACACATTTTGGAAGACAGTAGGGAAAACATCAGGTTATTTAAACACAGGCAACTTATCACAGCGCAGAAGTCTCCAGCAGACTCACTCAGGATCTTCCCACTGCAGGACTGAAGGGCACAGGAAGAACAAGGGGTTGGCTGTGGTGACATGAATGACCCAGATGGAAGAACACGAGTCGTATCAGATACAGAAATGTTTAATGGCATTAAAGTGCTACTTTAATGGGGACCATATGCTAACATTTAAACACAATTCCACTGCACTGCTAAATATGGTTGTCTTTAATTTTTTTTATTGTATTTTACCTCTTTTTGCCCAACCCTACCTAAAACAATAAAATAAAATCTAAAGGAGTGAAATTAACAACCCATTCAAATCAGCAATAAGTTATGAATTTCATAAAGCATATTTTTTTCCTCTTTTTCTTCTTTTTTTTTTTTCTTAGTAATGAGGGGTAGTTAAATTACTGAAGGATATACAAAGTTTCAAACAATGCCATAGGTGAGGACTCTATTAAACTTGGAAAACAAAAGAATCCTGGCCATTAAAAAGACAAAAATAAAACCAAAAGCAAAGCCCTCAAAGTGCAGGTTAGAATGCTCGTCTCCAGGAGAATTAGAAAACAGTTGCTAGAACAGCTCTTAACAGCACCTGCATAGGTAAGATGGCAAGGCCCTTGGGAACAGGACGTGCAGTCAAACGGTACATTAACATGAGAGACGTGCTGAGCTTAACTAGGTTAACTACTGGACTGGAACTTCAAAAGTCAGCAAAGGGAATGATTCTAAAAAGAAATCCAAAGAAACCCCCACCAAACCTGGCCTCTTCCAGCTAGCACAGCCTTCATCCGTTGTGTGCATGGCAAAAAAAGCATCTTTGCATTTCATTGGGTCAAGTGCTTCATCGAAACAGAGATCTTCTCATGGCATAAATTCATATAAAAGACATCTAAGGTTTCGTATGGACAAGCTCTAAAAAGACACATCAGACTTGGGGTGGTTTTCCCTCCCAACACATTTACAAATGTTTATCAAAAAATCTCTTCAAATAAAAAGGTCAGAGTGGCTCAGTATCTGGGCATGACTTTCTGGCGTGTCACCTCTCGTGTGTGCTGGTTTCTTTCTGTTCTCAGCTGGTTGTGTGCCTGAGCACGCACCTACCAGGAGATCTGCTGCCGGTGTCACAGCCAGAGGCATGACACAGCCCACGATGTGCTGGTAGGTTACAAGCGTGTACCTCTCGCTTTAGCCCCGCAGCGGAGGTACTTGCTTATTAAATGGTGTCCAACAGAAAGCTGAGCTGAATGGTGTTCTCTCCTGAACATCTCTCTTTGCAGCCCCTCTCTTTCTGCGCACAGAATGTGACCTTAATCATTATTGTCATTGTTACTCCTAGGCTACATAAGCCTTCTTGGATTTCCTAGTACATTACGACAGCATTGGATTGTGACAGACTGTAGGACACGGTCCTTTTAGGACCACAAAAGCTCTTCAGAAGGGCCTAAACTAGGTTGTTCAACCTGAATTAAATAGAAGAAATTCTGACATTTCTCAGATCTTGTGACAGAAAGAGAGGGATGAGTCTCTAGTATCCTCTTTCAAACAAAGAAATTCAAAACAAAGTGTTTCATCACTAAGGTCTAGATCCAGGTCCCACAGAAACAAACAGATTTCACTGACTTCATAGGGACTAGAGTTTGGTCTAACTTTTTGCCAGCAGGAATTGGGATTGGTAACATGACCAAATGAACACATGTGGGTTTCTGTGGAGGCTTCCTTTACCCAAAAAGCTTTATGTACAGGTCTCTCCAGGACTAGCTGTCAATATGTCATTTCTGAAAGAGGATACTGGCATCTAGGCCCCAGTGTGATCACCCCAGTGAAATAATTTGCCCTGCACTGTTGTCTCACTTGGTTCTAGGAAGCAAACGAGAGCTTGACACTGGCGCTGGAGTAACCCTCGTCACTCCCAATACTCTGCAAGCTGCTGTGATCATCAATGTCACTGATGCTGGTTGTGCTGATATTGTCCACTTCTCCATGGGAGAACTCTGTGCTTTCGACATCCACTTCAATCTCTTCTAAAAAGGAAAATAAGAGAAACACACACAGGTTAGCACCACAGACCCAACAGCTCCCTTCAAGCCAGTGAGCTGCTGGGGCTCCCCCACCAAGGGATGAAGCAGCATTCCAGCCAGAAGACTTCCATCCATTTCCCTGGAATGCTGTGGCTGTGGACATGGTTTATAAAAACACTAGATACCAGCTTGGAGTTCTTCCTAGGGACTTGGCCTTCAGCATGCTGGCCCCACTATCAGCGTAGGCTGGCCAAACCACACACTCAACTTGTTACACTGTCTCCTTCTTTGGAGCTCTGGTATCCCAGTGTTGGAAACAAAAACGGTGGGCAATAGAAATGGAGCATGAAGGTACACCAACACATACTACTTGCTTGATACTATGTTCCCAAAGCTGGGAACACTCATATAGGGCATTACAGTGCATCACCAGGGGGACTTGAGTTACTCTCCGAGATGCACAGTGGACTTCAGAACATAAATGTTGTTTATAAGAAAGCCTCAGAAAGCAGAGATCTAGTTAACCAGGTATCTTGGCTCCTAAACCAGTTTAGAAATGTTCCAAAGGGACTTTTTTAAACTACAGACTCACATCCAAACTATACGGCACCTTTGGGTCTATCAGTAAATATCAACCATCCATTGTGCCTACACCTCTCACCATAGCAGAGATTTTAATGGAAGGTAAATCAGTCAGCCATTCAGATCATCTCCATCTAGTTTCAGCTGAGGAGATGAACTCTATGGGAAGTATGGGGGAAGAAAAGAATGACTCCAGGAATTTTAAGAAGCAGTTTGCCTGGTTCTGTTCTCTTGGTTATACCACAGTACCTTGGTTATACCATGGCCTAAACACAGAATGAGAAGCTGGATGCCGCTTTGCAACATCCATTCCAGTCCCACTAGTATCTGCTTATGTTTTCCTCTTTGTGTTGTTGAGGGATTCAGTAGACCAAAAAACACAATGGGTATCTTCACATTACCATCAGGTGATAAGCTACCATCCTGTGATAACAAGTTGAGTGACACCAACCTCGCTCCGAGTCCGAGTGATCCGAGGAAATGGTAGATCCAATGCTGTCCATTCGTATTCGCTCTATTTCCTGAGGACCCTGTAGCTGTTCCAGTCTTCTCTTTAGGAATCTTTGTTCTCGTTCCAGGTTCTCAAGCTGGTGTTGGCTTCTCCTCTCAGCCTCTTCAAGTTTCTGACATGAGCAAATATGACTCAATAATTCATTTCAGCCTTTTCCCCTTCCCTCCCACCTCCACTGCCCAGCCACTTGCTTTGCTTTAGCCCGCCCAGAAGGATTTAAGCTGCAACAGAGCCCTCAACCAAGCTGCCCTGCAGTCCCTAAGAACAATGCCATCTCCTCACATCTCTTCCACCTCCCGAGCCCTGATGAATTATACACATTAGTATAAAAGGTCTCTGAGGACAAAGCCTCTACGGGGGGAAAGCCTGGAAACGCCGCAGTTTGAGGGTCATTCCATGTGGATTCAGCCACTTGCATTACCAAATCTGTCCACGAGGGGGCCTCAATTCCCTTAACTAAACATACCGGGGTTTTGTTACTATAAGCTGCAACATAAAAACGTGCCCCGGGAGCTGTGTGTTCCTTGCTGCGCGGTTTCGTCGGGTTTCTCAGAAACACTTTCCTATTCAGTAAGCGATTTACATAACCTACTACAGATTTCTTTGATCACAGCTGGGAAATCTACCAGGGCACTGTTCTTTGTTTCCTACAACAAGCACATTGCATAAGGAGGAGTCATTTCAGGCTAACGCCGTCCCTTCAGCAGTGCTTTTTCTCCTTCACCACCCATCCTCCCTCCCGCTATCCTGACCTGTGACAAAGTAGTTCAGCTTCTCCCAAATACTGACAATGCTGCATTTTTCTCTCCATGCTTTGCTTTCCCAAACGTGAATCTAGAAGAGCACTGTGCTATCTGGCAGGTTCACACATGGAACCCCAGCAAGCCAGCCCCGTCTCACGCTCCTGTGACTTGTGCTAATGCTTCAGCAGTGGAAAGTCACTAGCACATCCCATCTCCCATCAAAACGCAGCCATTCAACAGTAGGCATGTTTTTCTTTAAAGAGATTCAGCTGTCAATGAATGATGACAACCAGAGAACAAGCCCCCTGCCCCTGCTCAAGAGATGAATCATTTCTGCAGTTAACACAGTTCATTATGGACTCTCTAACAATGCAGCTTGTAGCAATGATAAATGATGAACCAAGGGGACAAGGCTTCCTTGTCTTTGTTTCTTTTAAAGGTGTCAGTCTTCTCCAACCGTCACCTCCAGGCAGCAAGAGCGAGCCACTGAATTGCACTTCTCAAGAGCCCAGGCTGAAAGCAGGTGGGAAAAGCAGCTCTTACCTTGATATGTGCTTTGGCTTTGTTGAGCAGCCCAAGCGTCGTGTGCCGGGTGCAGTCTGGTCCTAGCGGTATCAGAACTTTCAAGCGTTCTAGACACAGGCGGAGGTGAGCTCGGCTGCAAGGGGAAGGGAGGAACATCAGAGCTCTGCTTTCAGAAAGGGAACATCATTTCTTCTCTACCTCCCTTCTACAAGGCACTTTCCATGTTTCCCTCTTCCCACAGGTCACAAGATTCCCGCAGGTACCAGGACTGCCACTAAACTATTTACAGTCCAAACATCAGCTGCTCACCAACACTCGCATTATTACTAACCTTTGACAGACACTGTTTATTTTCCTGCTGTCTGAACTGATAACGTGACTCATCAGAATGAGCTTTTTGCAGTGTCAAATGATTTGAGTACCTCATGGATTTCCCCTCTCTCAGCTCTTTGCTGTCTGCGCTGCCAAGAAGAACTTCTGTGAAAGCAGTTTTGCTGCCCCTTGCACACTTGTGCATTGCTGGTTGGGACATTAGCTATGAACTGATCTAAGCACTGTCTTTTTGCACAACATTAAGAAGATCCAGTAAGAAAAAATGGTAAGCCCCAAACACCCAAACAATCCCTGCTGTCAGTAAAGGAGGTAGGAGGATGATAGCTCCTAAGAACGGCACTCTTATTCCATCCCGGGCCCATTACTGAAACATGGATGTCCCATCCCTGGCAGTGTTTAAGGCCAGACTGGATGGGGTTTAGAGCAACCTGGTCTAGTAGAAGATGTCCCTGCCAATGGCAGTGAGCTGGAACTGGGTGATCTTTAAGGTCCCTTGCAACCCAAACCATTCTGTGATATTCTATGATATGTCCTGGGGAAAATGGTTCAGGCAGTAGTGGCAAAGCACATGGTCTGTTTCTGCTGCCTCCTCTGTATTCACGTATGCAGGAATGAACAGCACATTTATGGAAAACTATCCAGTCTGGGTTGCCTTTTCCCCCTCCTTCTCTCTTTCCCAGACATTAATGATTTATGTCCAAACTTGTCATCCCAATCAATAACACAATGACATCAGCTCCATCATTCACAGGCAAGAAACACTGGTGCAAAAGAGCCCTGAAAGCCTATCCCAGCCCCTGCTCAGGCACAAAGAAACTGAATCATAGCCCCATCCATCTCAATGCAGGGGAAGAAGCAAAAGGAACACAGAAAAGAAACCAAGAGCAGAGACAGTTCATTTCCATTTGTGTTTCAAATTCACTATTGCCCCCGGTTTGAAAGGGGTGGGGGAGAGGAGTCTGTAATCAGGCAATTATGCCAGTGACAAGCAAGGATGATTAAGGGTGGAAGGGTCAGGGGTTTTGCTGATGAACTGTCAGTACAGGGGAGTGTTCACTAGTGGTGCTGTAGCTGTGAGCTCCTCACTGCTTCAATTACACATCTCCTTAGCAAGGGTCCATCATTCTGTCTCGAGAACAGCCACAGGGCTGCATATAACCAACAAGGGCCTTGAAGAACATGTGTTTTCCATGAAATATTGACAACTGGAGGGGTGGGGAAAGAGAAATCATAATCCAAAAATCAAACTGAAAAAACACTAATCACCTCAATCTCGTATTTTATTTTTCAGCTTGCTCTAGGGCAAACCCCCAGAGACATCAAAACTGTATGGCTGGCATGGGGAGGTTTTGTTCTACCTGGAAGCCCACTTTAAACATACAGCTTGATCAACAGGAGCTGTGTGCACCCATTGCAGCTGTTTGCCCGACGTCCCCCGATGACCTGTAGCATCAGCAGTGAGGAAGCACTACTGGTTCATACTGGCACTGTACTTCATGTCATCCCACAGAGACCAGACACTGACTTCTTGCAGCTAGAGAACAGAAGAGGAGGACAATCTTGGGGGGTTTTAACCCATTTTTGGCTATGCAACAGAAGCAAGTCACTGTGTCAGAGTTGTCAGCGCACAGCCATTGAGCTGCAGCACAGAGCAGCATGTGTCTCTTCACAGCACGAGTCAAAGCACTGGCCATAGACTTCACCTACAGGATCAGCCCAGGTTAAATATGCATCTAAAGATGTGTGTGAAGATCTAGAGGCTGAGGAGCAGGGCTGGTTCCACCTAACAGAGGACTTGCTACACAGCATCTGCTACAGGTAGGGATCACAGACTCCTCCTGCCCTGCTGAGCAAGGGCACCTCCCAGCCCATGGTGAAAACTGAATTATTTGTGCAATAGGAAACAAGAAGTTTGGGAAATCAACATTTAACCAGTGTCAAACATACCACAATCCACTTCTAAACGCAGAGAGCAATGGACAACACATCTACAGCCCGAAGTTTGGGCTGAGTCTCAGCACTGGAGGTTTTACTAGGAAAGCGGGAAGGCACTGCACCAGGAACTGCAATTCCTGGAACCACTGATCAACTTTGAGCAGGAGTGAGCACCGAGTACTGGCTGGATTGCTGGGAATGTGGTTAAAAGTATGGCACTGATCAAAAGCTAGGCTATGTACAGACCCAATGAGATCCACACTGTTAAGCACCTGAAAGCCATATGCAAAGATCCAGCCTGTAATAAAACCCTGGGCACCAAAACACTTCCCACTGTGCCCCAGAACCACAGTGGATTGAAGGTTACTGCACTCTGCAGGCCCTGACAAGGGCAGGGAGAGGACAAAGCAGTCAGAGGGTCTGTCCTCATCTGGACACAGAAAGTTACTTCCCCGGCGTGCAGTGCTCCAAAGGGGACATTCCCCCATTTCCAGATCCCCACATTGGATCTCAAAGCTCGGAAGACTGGCTCAGGCTCACACAGATGGTTTTAAGCTCTGCTGGCTGGTCACCAAATGCCTGCAGCAAGGGTGATGGCAGAGGCCATCAGCAGGGGACACCCATCTGTGACACAGGGTGTGAGCTGATAAGCAGGTAGCACAGCTTGGGCAATGAGTACACTGCACGTCCAGGTTGTGCTGGCTGAGCAGAGGCTGGTTTGGAACAGGTTTGACCAAAGCAATCACTTCTGTGCTGCTCTTGGATCTTCCCCTTATTTCGCACTCAACAGCTGAGCCACTGCAAACCTCAAGTGTGTTTGTATCTCCAGCCACAGCTCACAGAGGGAAACACACAGGGCTTTACAGCAGCACACAGCAGCAGGTCAGCCTTAGTGCACAGGCCAGTGCAGAGCAGGGCAGCCAGGCCCTTCAACCAGCAGTCACCCCCTGCTTAGGAGCTACTGGACCTGGGAACTGGGATAGCAAAGAGCAAAGCCCAAACCATCCTGGCATGCCAGCATGCTGCTTTCCTTTTCCTCAGGAAAAAAATCATTACTGTGAGGGTGCTGAGGCCCTGGCACAGGGTGCCCAGAGAAGCTGTGGCTGCCCCATCCCTGGCAGTGCTCAAAGGCAGATTGGCCAAGGCTTGGAGCAACCTGCTCTAGTGGAAGGTTCCCCTGTCCCTGGCAGGGGGCTGGAGCCGGATGATCTTTAAGGTCCCTTCCAACACAAACCAGTCTATGGTTCTATGATTCAGAGAGACCAAATCCAACAGCTTCCCCAGCTCTCTCCCCTCTGCAGTGTTCAGTACTTTCCCTTTGCATTTTTAAAACCCATTCCGGTCACAGTCCCGGACCTCCCTCAACTTCCACAGCCCAAGTGGACCACGATGGGTTCTTAAAGCACAGAGCACACAGACAGCTCTGACACATTAATGGGTGGCTTCAGTAAAATCCAAAATACAACTCCAGAGCTCAAAAGCACCACAAGAAATTTAGCTAGAACTCCATTTCAGAGAGAAAGCAATCACCAACATATTAATCTTTCTTATCGGGTACTGGTGCTGTACCTGGATAGCTGTAATCCCACGATCCAAATGTCTTTCCCCCTTGTTTACCTGGACCCTGTTGCAACGTGGCTTTGACAACGCTGCAGGCTCTTGTATGTAATGAAAATACCAGCATTGTGCAGGCTCCAGACAGAGCCAGACGGCTTTCCATGTAAACCACTGGATTATGCCAATATTTGATGCATCTGCCAATATCTGGAAAAACAAGTCTAAACGCCCATATTGTTATATAACAGAGAAACAACTCAGGCTTGGTGCAAAAGGCTGTTCCTTCTTGCTGCTTTGATTCCAGGGAACACAGAGGATGACAGAAGGTGAATTCCAGTTTCAGCTGCGGCAGAAGCCTTTGCACACTTGCTGCAGGGGAGATGGGAGAAGCTGGAGCCCTTTCTCCTGCATAAGCATCCTTGGAAAAAAACAGGCTTTCACAACATCATCACAGCACACGGTAGGTGCTGGATGTGCCGAAGAAGGAATCCATGGAGCATTTGAAGGGAGAGGGCTCTCCTCTTTATCCGATCAGTCTGGTGCCCCACTCCTGCTCAGCCTGAAGAGGGGGAAATCTGTTTGAGATTACCATGTGGGGTATCAGGGTGGCCAGAAATAGAGCTAAGCACCGGAGGGGCTTCAGAAAACCAGAGTGTAACACACACCTCTAATTCTATCCTGTTCTACCAGGCAACTCTGGCTAGGACAGAGCCCCTCTGCCCCTTCTGCCTCCCCCCCTTGCAGGGCTAGGGAGAACCTAGAAGTAAGTTCTCCAGTGGTGTGGAGGGCAAACAGAACAAGGATACCCTCTCTTCTCTTCCAGGAGCTGCTGTGGATGAAAAAGGTACATGAGTTCCTAAACCAGCAGCTCCATAGCCCTGCCAGCTGATCCACAACAAGCTATAAGGTGGCTGCATGTGGAAGAAGGTGATTCTGGCCCCTGCGATGGCAGCCCCACTGCTGCCCACGGGGCACATGCTGTTCTTCCCCCTTTCCCTTTGTGCCTGTGTGAGAGCTTCTGACTGTATTTAAATTACCTACTTCTATCCCACAGCTCCCTCCAAGCCCAAGCCCCCTGGCCCTTGGTCCTGAGCCCCTCTCAGAGAGGAGCCTGGTCCGGGCTCTGTGCAGTCCCTCCTTGCACTTGGCTCTGCCTGGCTGCAGAGGGCTGTAATTTCACAGCCTCCTCTCCCAATGACATCATCTACTCTGATTATATAAAGCACAGGGAGGAAGCCTTTATTTATGCATGCTTTTTGCTCATAGCTTCAGCTGCCTCCCTGTACAACATGCACTCAAATCCCACTG